GGCCGCCATGTTGAGTGTGGCTGGTGGTGGGGCCGCCATGTTGAGTGCGGCTGGTGCGGGGGCCGCCATGTTGAGTGCGGCGGGCCGAAGGGAGAGCACATACAGAAACGCCTGGAAACATGTTAATTGTTCAAACAAGAGCCCTCACCTTCGAGCTCTGGGGATGTGGGAGGCTGGGATGGCGCTGCCCAATGATAGTCCCCTCACATCAGATGCTGCCGTGAGGCTTTGGGTGCTCTGTGGGGTCCCACCCCACTGGGGGGAACCCAGTGAAGGGTGGGCTGCAGCTGCCACTGCGCAATGAGTGTCCTCTATGCAAGGAACCTGTCACCTCGCAGTTCCCTTTGGTGGTCACCTGAGAAAAGAAGAAGACAAATCAAGAACAGGGAAGCCCACCGCCATCCACACCACGGTATGGTGCCAGCACGGCTCCAGCACGGCTCTGGCACGGCTCCATCACAGCATCTGTGGTGCCTGCTGGTTTCCCACCGCTGGGGCAGCCTAGAGCAGAGAGCCTGTCATCCCCCATGACAGAGACCCCTGCACCCACCTCATCTGGCCCCTTCCAGCACAGCCTGCAGTGATTTCTTCAGAGCTGCATTGCTCTGATCCAGGGCAGCAGCCAGACTGCTCCGGTGAGTTGGGGTGACCTGGGATCAAGAGAGCATGAGCTTGGAGCTCTGCCCTGCCAGAAGCCCACCTGAGACCACTGCACCAGGTCCCAGCCCATCTGCAGGACCTGAGCCTGGTCTCACTCACCTGGCTCTGGTACATGGTAAGCATGGCTGTCACCAGCTTGGCATAGTCAAGCGATGTGGCAAAGGCTGAGGCCTGCTGGCACAGCGTCAGGACCAGGAGATCCAAGAGCTCCGGGGGCAGCACCTCCTGGAAGAAACCCAGGAGCGGGTAGGAGAACTGGTCCTTGCTCCAGCACTGCTGGAGTCAGCAAGGAAACCTGGGGGACAAGGGGCCTCTCTCACCTGCCGCCCCAGCACAGCCTGCACTACCGGCAGGAGCTTCTCTGACAAAGGCATCTCCAAGACTTGGCTAAAAGTACAGTGAAGAGGAGACGTGCTGCTTCACGGCCTTGCTGGTGCTCCCGAGTGGCTGGAACCAGCTGACCCATCCAGGCAGGCATGAGGCCAAAGCAGCACTGTTGACCCTGTAATCCCTTACCTTAGCACCAGCTGCACACAGTGTGGCTCCAGGCACTCCTCCACAAGCTCACACACCAGCTTGGTCTGCTCAGCACCTGCAAAGGCAAGTCAGATGGGGAGAGCCTCCAAAGGCTCCCAAATCCATAGGGATGTGCCCAGCTCTTCCTAGCAGCCCTTCACACAGGCGTATGTGTCAGTCAGGACATGCAAAAACCACATAGTGCCCCGTTCTATTGTTCAGGATAATCCTGCTTCCTTTGCCCACCTGCACTCAGGGTTTAAATAGCACCAGTCCCCAGGAAAAGGGGTTCACGCATGAGGAGAGGCATTCAGCCAGCAGTTGGGAAAACTGAAGCTAGCTTGGCCTCCCCTCCCTCTCCATCTCAGGCATCTGTAAACCCATCTCCCATTCTAATGCAAGTGTTTGCTTGCCCAGGAAAACCAGCCCTATGTCTCCATGGATCCTAACACATGTTCCACGTGACAAATGCCTCCCAGAAGACAGCACTTTGCAGTTGGGGCCCTTCTCCAGCTCCCACAGCCATGTCTCCCACAAGCCCACCGCACCTTCCCCTGGCTCCTGCAGGACCGCAGCCACCAGCACATGGCAGAAGGGCTGGGAATACTTGGAGCAAAATGAAGCGAGGGCAGCCATGAGGTGTCGGGAAGGTGGCTGGGTGAGGGACAGGACCTAGGGACAGAAAAGGCAGGAGGTGGGGATGGTGGAGAAGGGAAACAGGGAGCAGGAAACCTCTGCTGCCCTTGCACGTACTCGCCTGAGGAAGAGCTGCTCTGCCAGGATGGCCGCGCTGGTGTAGCTGAGGTCAGGGGTGAGAGCCAGCAGCCACCTGCAGAAACGCCCCAGGAAGGGCTCTGGGCACACAGACAGCTGGAGGAAGGAGCACAGTCTTTCAAGCTGGGGATGGCAGAGGGGATGGGACGTTAGGGATGGCAGCAGGCCCTCCACAATAGTGGTGGCTGCAGCAGGGATGCTTAGACTCACCTGGCTGGGGGAGCAGTTGTTCAGGATGCACAGCTCAGGTGGGATGCTCAGCTCGGCGTGCTGGAGGGAAAACAGTCCTAAGTAATGCACCAAATTAATCAACACACAATATATGGTTCTAAGGATTTTCCCTTCCCCTCACGTCAGCCAGCGCTGTGCCCACAGGCTGCCTCTCACACAGCAACCCCTTCAAGGTGCAGGCACGTATTGGTATCCCAGCCCAGAGGAGGTGGCAGTAGGGCTTTCTATCCTTGTCCAGTCAGTCTCATGAAACCCACCTCCTTTCTCATCCCTTTTGAGGCCCTGGCACGAGCCCATTTAGACCACCGGCTCCAGGAGACAGACAGAAGCAACCACTTACGCTGGACTCCTGCAGCAGCAGCATTTTCAGCTTCTGTCCATGCATCTGAGGGAAATGAGATGAAGGAAGGGGAATCAGGCTGTAAAGACTCACTGTCTGGAAGGGGAGAGCAAACCCTACCCAGTACCTGGAGAAAGGACTGGGCCTCTGCTGCCAGCTCTGTTTCGGGACTCTTCCTGAGCTCCCCAACTGCATCCTGCTGGGAGCTGTCTGGAGCAGCCCCATCTGTGCTCTCAGCACATGTATCCACTGAAGGCTCCTCAGGCACCTCCTCTTCTATCCCTGTCACATCCTCACATTCCTGGGGTCCCAGAGGGTCAAATGCCACCTCCTCCAGCAGCAACCTCTTCCTCTCTCTGTCACTGACCAACTCCACTCCCTCCTCCGACACTTTCTTGCGCTTTCCACCTTGAGGCACGGAGTCAGCCACATCCCCAGTGGCATCAGGCTGCTTCCTAAAGCACCAGTTCAATTTCCTTTGCCCCTCTGGTTTGTTCTGGGCAATTTTCTGGCACAGGCACCTAAGCTGCTGCTGGCATGTAGAAGAGAGTGGAGTGGGAGATGGGAAGCGCTTTTCTGTTCTTGGTCCCTGCCGGAGCAGATCCCCCAGCGTCCGCATCCAGGGATCCACATGGGAATCCTGTTCCATGGCCTGGAGCAGCTGGCCAAGGCAGCCCCCTGGCACTGCATCCCACATCACGAGGAGCAGGGAGAAGAAGTTTCTCTGGCACATGATGGGCAGCAGCAGCAGCCGTGGCTTGCTGGGTAAGGGGAGAAAAGAAAGGAAACTTGTCACAGCAAACCTCCTCGTCCTGACTCCGAGCTGCCCTGTGGGTCTCACTACGGAGCAAGAGAAGGCAGCAGCTAATGCCTTCACCAGCTTTTGCAGACACAAGCTGGGAGACCAGCTGGCCGCTGCTACGATCCCAGCTTCAGGTATGGGCGGCTGCACTGGGGTAAGTGGACATGCGGTCCTAAATTAGGCACCTGACACGCCAAACCTCGCACAAAACACCAAGTTTTAGAAACGCATCTGACTCACACAGCCAGGACGCCCTGTGGCTCCTCCAGCACGGGCTCCTCGGCGCACAGGGCTGCGGTGAGGGCCTGCCAGGGGAACGCCTGTCCCGGTCCCTCGCGGGGCTGGTCCCGCTGCAGCATCCGGAGGGCGGCGAGTGTCCCGGCGGGGCCGGAGGCCAGCGCGTGGAGCAGGAGGCGGCACGGCCCGGCAAAGCTCTGCAGCCAGGGCGGGCAGCGGGGCTCCATCGCTGCTGCGGGGGCTCCACAGCCGCCTGCGAGACACGGGGGAGAGCCGGGCACGGGTCACACGGGGAGAGGCGCGGGAGCATCAGAACCCGGCCAGCCGTGCTCGGAGCCGACCCCGGCGCCAGTTTCGGGGACTGCCCTTACCTGCCCTTCCCGCCCGAGGATGCGGGAGCGTCACTGGGGTCGCACCGGGAGCCCCTCGGAGCCCTCCAACACCCCTTCCCCGGCAGCTCCCCCATCCCCGGCTCAATCCCCGCTGCCCTCCCGGGGGAGCTCCCCCCGCCCCAGTCACTGCCGTGCCCCGGGCACAGCCGGGGCAGCCCCCGACACTCACGGGGGCCCCGCCGGGCTCCGCCCGCTGCCCCGGGCCCGGACGCGCCGCTTCCGGCCCCACCCCGGGAAACGCTGATCAAGGGCGCGCAAACGAGTCATTATGCAAATGTCCCCTAATCACAAAACCCGCCCCGCCCCTGGGGGTGGAGCCAGCCAGCCCCCGGACAGAGACCCCCGGCACCGTGATGCTACCTACGCGTTTTATTTCGTAATTCCCGGATTTGGCTAAAACCAGTTTAAAACAGTGCCCGCCCCGGCCCGTGGGCCTTAAATCCCCACGTTAAACCCCCAGCACCCGGCCCAGCCCCCCGCCCGGCACCCGCGGGTCTCCCATTGAGGGGGCGAGGGCAAGAGCACGGGGACTCTGCCCCACCGCCCTGAGTCACTGGCAGCCAGACCGCTTCCCCATCCCACCCCCTCCCTGCAGCACCGCCTATGCCCAGAGCCACTCCAAAACAATGCTGGAAGTCAAAACCAGATGATTCCCCCTCCCAGAGATGCCACCAGCATCACCTAGGCCCAGTGTGACCCCCCCCACGGCTCAGTCCGAGTTGCTGAAGTCAATGAGAAACATCTCGTGGCCATAACTTGAGTAGTGAAATTCCGTCAAGGTGAGAGCCAACTCGAGCATGCAGAGCTCCTCATCCTCCTCGCCAGAGCTCTCCGAGGAAGAAGGGTTGAACTCCTGCAGCACAGGAGGGAGGATGAGCCCCGGTCTCCCACTGCATTGCACCCAGCCCAGCCCCAGGACTTGCCACTCCACTTACAGTGGGCATCCTCAGCCGCTGCTGTCTGTGCCTTGGCAGCTGGCTGGTGGGCAGCTCGTGCAGGTAGATGCAGTCAGACCTGAACGGGCAGTGGCCACGGTTCCGAACAAAGAATTTACATCTGATTTTCCTGCGGGATTCCAAGCACAGTTGTGAGCGTGGCTCCCAGCGCAGCACAGAGCCCACAGCCCTACCACCCGCAGTTCCATGCACTCACCCCGTCCGTGCCTTGAAGGTTCTGATGAGCTTCTCCTTCTCACCCACATCCGAGATCCAGTATTTGTGGGGAATATAGTAACTGGAAGTGATCCGGCACTCTGGGCAGGCCCTGGGTGAAGGCAATGGGTGCAGACGGGTGTCCCAAAAAGGGAGCAGGGAGCACAGGCTCAGCACCCATGCAGGGTGGTCCTCATCCAGTATCCCCATCCCTACTCCCACTGATGTGTTCCCAAAGAAAAGTCGTGCCAATGGAAGGTCATATCACCAGACCTAAGGAAGGATTTCAGGGTGCAAGAAGGGGTGATGGTGACCACTCTCCATTGTCCCCATCCCCACTCACTTTATGACTGTGCTCTGGAAGTCCCGGCTGCGACGCCACTTGCGGATGCATCCCACGCAGTACGCATGGCTGCAGTTCGGGAGGATCCCAAAGAGCCGCTCTTCTGGCAGTGGCTTCTCGTACACCCTGTCCATGCAGATGCCACACACCACGGCCTCACTCTGGGCTCTCAGTGCCTCAGTGGGGACTGGGGCTGCCGCAGCACCCAGATTCATAGAGACCTGCACGCAGAGAAGCAAAGCATGGCAACCCCCCAGCTCCATCAATGCCCTGGCCTTGGGGAGTGCCCGGCCACAGGACACCCCCAAACCCACCTCTGCAGGGTCAGTCCCTGTCACCATCTCCACCATTGTCTCTCTGGGGTCAGAGGAGTCTGCATCCAGTGCCAGCCCTTGTAGCTGGGAGCCTGCAGGAGGAAAGCTCTTAGAGGGGAAAAGCACATCCCACCCCATCAGAGAGCCAGGCAGGCTGCTAAGAGCGTGCAGCCTCAGCAGTGACGGTCCCCTGGAGAGCTCTCCACAGCCCCAGCTTGGCCAAGGTTTGGGGCATGGGCAGAAACATGCTCAGACTGCTCCACCGTGACCACTCCAGTATCCTCAGCCCCACTGGTCCCCTGGGCAGCCTAGCACCTACCTGAGGCACGCTGAGCATGTCTGGGGACAAATTCTCCACTGATGTTATCAGGTGCTGCAACGTTCTTCTTGTTTTTCTCTTCCACCTCAACCTCCATGTTTAGGAACTTGAAGGCCACATGTGTCGTGCTGGGGGCAGGGTAGCCCAAGGTGCGCTGGGGTCCCACCCAGCCCTGGGCCGTGGGCACAGTGCCAGGCTCCGGGCCCCAGTGGCAGGGGGGCATGGAGGGATCCAGGCCATGGCGGGATGGCACCAGCTCCTCCTGGATGTGCTGGTAGCTGGAGGAGCCCAGAGACAAACAGACAGAGAGTCCCATCAGCCCAGCATAACTCCTCTTGGCTCCCAGCCCGTCCTTGGGGCATCAGACTCCTGCTCGCTGCCCCTTACCTGCACTGCTCTCCGTAGCTGCAAAACCCACTCTGGAAGTACCTGCAGATCTGAGCTGAGTTTCTGTCATGTAAGAAGCGGCAGCTCTGGCCCCATCGACAGGATCCACGGGCAAAATTCCTGTTGGCCAGAGGAGCCGCATGGCTGGGGTCAGACCCCACTCCAACCTTGCTCCACCAGCCACCCTGACACCCCTCCGGGTACCAGCTTTGTGTGCGTGGGGCCATAACTTGCCAAAGCCCCACCTGGTGTCTGGGCTCAGGAGCCCCTGCCAAGGGCAGAGCCCGGGGGGGGTCCAATGCTTTCCCAGCCCCATCCAGCCTTCTCTCACGGTTAATTGCAAAGCAAAATAAGCTTAGGACTGGGCTGGCCTGGGGGCTCTCCTCAGGGCAAGCCAGGGGTCCTGAGAGCTGGGGCAGCCCCTGGCTCCCTGTGGAGCCATGGAGAGCGGCAAGGAGTCCTTGGTTTGTGGCTGACAGGAAGGAGATGCCTGGCTGGAGTGTTTCTGGGGACCCCCAGCTCCGGAGGTGGGGCAGCTGCATGGGGAAATGGGTGGGGGGTGGGTCAAGGCCATCCCAATCCACTCTCTGTCCCCACAGGGAGGGACTCGTGGCCCATCTCAAGCCTATCTCCCCCAAAAGCTGCTCCCAGCCCTCCCGACCCCAAGCCTTTTACCTGCACAGGGGTCTCAGACAGCCCTCTCTGGCCGTTAACGTCCCAGATGCCACCGTCGAGCCCGGCTCCATCTGTTCCCCGGCAGCCAAGAGGGCTCGGCTACTTCCCGGGGCTGTTTATGGCCTCAGGTGTGTCGTAGATCCGGCTGGGATAATTCTCCCCTCGGAGTGAGGGCCGTGCTGCGATTTGGGCGGAATACAAGCCCGAACAAGCCCGGGCTGATAACACTCGGGAGTGTGAGCATTGTTTACTTTGAGTCAAGGACTTTCCAGCTCCTCTTGCTCCTGAAGTGAGAAGCCAGGCGGGGGGCACCACTCCAGTGTGCATCACTAAATTCTGTATATTCTAATTCTTTTATCATTACTATTTCCTTTTTGTTTCAGTCATATTAAACTATCTTTATCTCAACCTATAAATTTCACTTTTTTCTAAGTTCTCTCCTCCATCTCACTGGGAAGGGAGGCAGTGAACAGCTCAGTGATGTTTTGCTGCCTGCTGGGTTAAACCATACAAGGTCCCCAGCCAGGTACCCTGGGTCACATGCCCAGCAGCACCACAGCTCCCTGTATCCCCAGAAGCATGGGAGAGGTGGGGGGCAATGGAATATGTTCTCCCAGGGGCACTCAAACTGGGGAGAGGGAAGTCTGAGGGTCTGCAGCTGCTCTCTGCAAACTCTTGGGGTTCAGACACAGCCAAGGGCAGAGCTCGGAGCCAGAATGTGGCCCAGCTGCCCCAGAGCCCATCCTTGCCCATCTTGAGGTGGTTTTGGCTGGGCTGAGCTCATTGCCCAGCTCCACCTGCAAGCATTTGGGGCAGCAAGCACCCAGCTCTGAGACTGGGACCCTGTTCAGAAATGGCTCTTTCTGATGCCTTTAGATTGCAGGCAGGAGCTATGAGATCTGGGAGTAATGGAGACTTGGGAATCATGGCAAATTCCTGGAAATCACAACAAATCCAGCAAATCCCATCACCTCTGCTGGAAACCCTCTCATGGGCAGCCCCCAGGTGCCAAGAGAAATCCCACAAAGACAGGCTGGACACTAAAAGGTTCTTAAATATTTAATTCAGATTTATTTAAAGTCAAGTCAGCTTGTGGACACTATTTATATTATTAAAAACACTTGGAGGTTTGTACTTCTAGCAAAAATATACATTTCAGTTTGAGGGTTGTTACACTGTTGAGGAAGGAAGAGCAAAAAGTTCCCCAGGTGATGGGCACAAGTCCTGCATGTGGCTGCAGTGGGGATGCCACCAGGGCTTTGGGATGGGCAAATCCCCTGGGCTCCATCCAGCACATGCATATCTCCAGTGCCTTCCCGGAGAGGGCTTCAAAGTGCTTCAGAAATGGTAACTCCTAACGCCCCTGCAAGGTAGGGAAGGGAGGGGCTGGGCAGGGAAACTGAGGCACAGCAAAGGGCTGGAGTGTGGCAGCAGGGGCAGGTTTGGCCATCGCCAGCCCTGTGACGGGGTGGGGAAGCCCAGTGCTCTTCCCCTTTGGGTTTTTTAAAGGAATTATTGCACCAGGGAAATCTGCTACCCTGAAGACGAGGAAAGTAAAATAAAACCGACTAATTTGCTCCCATAACCCCTCCTTGGGGATTTCAGTATTTTAATAAGGCTGCTCAGGACACACAGGACCAGGAGCTGCAGACAGGTAAGTGCTACTTCCTAGGTCAGACACCATCATCCTGAGAGGGAAACTGAGCCCTTCCCGGGTCCATCCTCTCCCCTCGAGCTCAGGTGATGCAGCCCTTCACACTGGGGGCCCAGCCCAGCCCAGCCCAGGCAGCACTGTGGCATTTCACTACAGCTGCGAGAAGTTATGAGGTAAAGTCCCAAAATGGTGCTGGGTTTAGGCAGACCCTGAAGCCTGGAGCTGTCCCAGCTCTCGGGACAGTGGCAGAGGAGGACTGGCAGCTTCCCTCACCTGGCTGTGCTCTCTGGGAAGCTCCTGCCCCTTGTGAGCATCCTGCCCGCTCCCTCCCAGTTTATAAATCCTTGGCATTTATACTGGAGTTTACAGCTGTAAAGCTCTTTGCAACCAATGCACTAAAGGATCCTTTTGCTCCCCCTCGAAGCAGAGAGCTGGTGACAATCCAGGTCCCTTTCACAGGGCAAACTGAGACAGGACACCAAACCCTGACCAGCCCAAAGCCCCTGACCCTGCACAGACCTTTTTGGTAACTCACAGCTGTGCAGAACAGCCTGTGGAAGCCACAAATTCCAGCCTCTGCTGTGAAGGTGAATTTTAACGAGTCAAATCCTTTCCCTCCCATCTCCCCATCCCTCCTCTCATACTGAGGTGCCAAGGAACACATTCCCTCTGAAATCAGGGTGCCAGGAGCACAAGTTCCCACACAGCACTCAAGAAGGCAGAGCTCGCACAGTCCCTCTGGGAGACAGGAACACACTGCACAGCACAGGGGGCTGCTGCTGAGGGTCCCTGCTAGGACAGCCCTACCCGTGTTCAAATACTCTGGCTTTTCTTTGGGAAAGAGAGAAACATCCTTTCACATCACAACTGTCCCAGACTTCACGGCTCAGGACTGTGTCTTCGGAGTGCAAACAAACAAGAAAATACAGACACGCTGTAAGTGCTGCTGCTGGTCCCACCGGACCCCTGCACCTCGCTCGGGTCTCCTCAGGACCAGAGCTCCTCCCACCTTGGGGACCTGGGGTGCTGTAAGAACCCCACTGCCTGTGCCATGTAAACCGGGCGGCCGCTCCAGAGGCCCTGGGAGCAGCTGGAGCTGGGCTGCAGTAACGGAAACAGCAGCTGTGGAGATTTGTTAGTGTGTGTTAACGGAAGCCCTGGCCGAGCAGGAGGCAGCTGCAAATCGTGACAGCATCTTGCCCTACGTACCGTATGTCAGGGTCACGTAGAAAAGAGTTTCCAGTAGAAGAAATGGAAGACACAGGGAAGGGTTTTCTTTGTTTCTGTACAAAGAGTCTTGATGGGAATCCATGGCTTCGTTCTCATAAATAACAGGTCCTTAGTACATGTCCTTGTAGATCTCCTGCAGAAGTGGGTGCAGAGATGTCTCTGTCTCTGTCTTCTTGATCTTCTGCACCAGCTGGGCATGCTCCGTCACCAACTGCCGCAGATCTGCCATCTTCTGCAGCAGCTTGGGGAAGAGGTACTGGGCATCCGGGTGGTTGGCCTGCAGGTGAAACTCCAGCACTCGCAGGATGTTGTCTTGGATCTCCTCCACCTGCTTCACGTTCATCAGGCCAGGACGGTCTGTGGAGAGGAAGCACAGTAGCTGCAGGGTCATGGGGCAGCCCTCCAAGGCACATGCTCCTCCTGAAGAAAGGAAGCTGGGGACTGTATCCCACCCACTGTGACTCCAACCTCATCAGCTAGAAAGGGGAGAAGTGCTGCTCACAGCAGCACATGAGAAGGAGATGCCACTTCTACACTCCTTGCTCTTGGTCCAAGCTTGCCAGGCATCACTGCCACAGAGCAGCTTTGGTTTTGGAAGTGTTCAGTTCTCCTCTTCTGCCCCTGACACACCCCTGGCTGACCTCAGGGCCAGCTGCAGCTCAGCCCCCCCAGCCCCCTCTGACCCACCTCTAAGTAAGGAGGACTCTTCCTGACTCTGGCATGGCCGAGGGCACCCGCTCACCTCCACACAGGATGATGGCTGCCACAAACAGGGACAGGTCACTGTCATCCAGCTCCAGCGCATTGAACTTCACAGCAAACTCAAATTTGGGCTCCATAATCTCACTGAAGGGCTTGCGCAGGCTACGCAGGAACTCACGGGTCACGAAGCCGTTCCCGTTGGCCACCAGCAGCCCATCCTTGTTCATGATGGATGCCAGCATGGCGAAGATGGCCTCGTGCACCCCGTACTTGAGCAGAGTCACTTGGTCGTTCAAGTAGAGGCCTATGAAGCTGGGGATGCTCTTGGCAAACTCTGTGAGCTCCCGCACAGTCTCCACCGTGGTGCACTGGCAGCGGTAGAAGACGTGCACCCCAATCTCCTTGTAGGGGGGAATGCCATTCACCAGCTGCTTCCACACCAGCCCCTTCTCTGCCTGCCACAAGGTGTCCATGTCATGGATCACAAAAGGCTGCTTGAACAAGAAGCAAGTTAGGAGTCTGCTGTGGGGACTTGAGGTGCCAGCTCTGCCCAGGACACTCATGTTTGCCTGCCTGTCCCTGTGCTGTTCCCTGCCTCTGGGACTGACAATGCTCAGGCAACCTGCACCCACCACCACAGCACAACTCTGCACAGCAATGGGACTTTTCCTAGCGAGGGGCAGGACATGCAGGGCCCACCTAGCTGCAAATGGGAACTGGTACATGTGGAACAGCTATGGCAGGAGGGGGATGTGCAGCATCTCCCAGAGAACAGCCCTCTGTGCTGGCCATGGCCAACCCCACCTGCCCTGGGAGGGAACTTACTGGGGTGCTGCTGGCCTTCCCGGTCAGGATACCTCTTGCCTTCTTTTTGGTCATGTTGAAATTCTTCAGGTAGGCATTGTAGATGTGCTTGGAGAAAGCTTTCAGGTCAGCCACCTGCGGGTTCTGGCAGCTGATCTCGCTCGCCGTCAGCCCTGCCACCAGCTTTCTCTTCTCTGCCTCTGGCATGCGCCCGAAGCGGATTGCTGGGGGGGCAAAACCAGTGGGTCAAGACAGGGAGGTGACTCCAGGAGATGCATCCAGAGAGGTAGCAGGTTGTTCTGCCACCGCAGACGGACAGGTCTGCTGGTGAACCCCTGCACAACACAATGGTTCTCCAGGATGCAGCTCCTCCAGCACTGGCACCTTCATGGACCAGCCATTGTTGCTTCCCTCACACCAGACTCTCATCCCAGTCCTCTGGGCTCTTGCACAAACCCACATAAACACCTTTGCTTGGTCATGACCTAGATGGTTACACGAGAAGTTTTAAAATCCTGGCACAGAAGAGCAATCTGTGTGTCCAATTCCCTCTGGGCCAGTTCATAAGGCACAGCCATGTACCAGCAGCTGTCCTGCATGGTGGGAATGAACAGCCCCTTCTCGTATAGAAGACAGGGCTGAAGAGTCAAAAGCTTGAAATATTGTGTTTGAATGATCCTT